TCCTTCCGGATGACTACTCTGTCCAAGGTCCGGCTTCTGTTGGAACAGGGCGCTTGGATGGTGTCCCTGGACCTCCGTGACAAGTACTGGCACGTCGCGATTCATCCTTGGTTCAGGGACTGGCTCGATTTTGTTGTGGGGCATCAGAGTTACCGCTTTCGTTGTCTCCCGTTCAGGTTAAACCTGGCACCTCGCGTTTTCACACGCCTTACTCGGGTCGTGGTGGCCCGTCTGCATCTCTTAGGTGTTCGTGTGTTGGCCTACCTCGACGACTGGCTGGTCTGGGCTCCCAGTCGGTCCGCTTGTCTGCTCGCCAGGAATTTGGTTCTTTCCCAGCTCGTTGGGTTCGGGTTCTGGGTGAACGGAGGAAGTTCCATTTGGTTCCCTCCCAGGTTCAGACTTGGCTGAGTCTTGTGTGGGACTCTAGGACCGCTTCCTTGTCTCTCCCTTCGGAGTCTCCCCTTCGGCTGTGGTCCCACCTTTGCCTGTTTCTGGGGCGCTCCCGTGTCACTCGGCATTTGCTCGAGGGTTTGTGCGGGAGCCTGAACTTTGTCGTGATGGTCTATCCACCGGGTCGGGTTTGGCTTCGTCGGCTGTACTGGTTTCTTCGGAGCTATCCCTTCTGCCTCTCTTTCGCGATTGCTGGGTTCATCTACTGAGGGCCTTTCATCTGTTGCTGTGTTGCCGGCTTCCTCTTTGTTTTTTTCGGGGTTCAATGCCTTGGCGCCTACCTGAGCTCTCGCTCAATGTGTTCACGGATGCGTCGTCTCTGGGCTGGGGCTTTGTGACCAGTGCTCACCAGGCTGGCCAGGGGTGGTGAGGTCTGTCTTTTTGTTGAGCCCACAGCAGTGCAGGAGTTTGCGGCAGTGTGGTTTGCCCTTTAGAGGGTTCGGGTCGCCTGCGGATTAACGATTAACTCCATTCGAACTGCTCCACGGTGGTTCGGGAGGGGGTCTAACATTCTGGCGGACGGCCTGTCTCGGTTTGTTCGCCTGTCCACAAAATGCACGGTCAACACCGACTCATTCAGTTGGCTCTGCCGGATGTTCGGGCGCTCGGATGTCTTCCGGTATATGTGGCGCTCTTCCCCGACTGCGAGGTCATCGGGTTCGATTCCTTTCAGCAGGATTGGTCGGAGTGGGGGTTCCTGTATCTCTTTTCCCCGGTTCAGCTGTTGCTCCAGGTCCTGGCTTGCATGGAGACTTACCAAGGGAGAGTAGTCCTCTTGGCCCCATGGTGGCCGGCTCAGCCTTGGTTTCAGGCGCTGCTTTAATGGTGTCCGAACCCAGAGGTTTTCCCGCGGCTCCGTCTCTTTCAGCGGATTGGTCGGGTCCATCACATGGCTGGTTCGGTCTTCTCCCTCAAGTTTTTATGTTTGGTATTTTTGACTCGAGCCGCTACAGGTTGGTTTTGGTATAGATGTTACTTCTGCGCCAATTCACAAGCTGTCTGATGCATTGTTTCACCTCCGGCCAGCTCATGTGCCACTTGAGCCTTCCTGGTCTTTGGATCAGGGGCTTTCTTTTCTCTCTTCTCCTCGGTTTGTTGTGGCCCCTTCGGCTCAGGATTGTTTTGCTACGGCTCTTTTCCTATTGGCATTGACCATTGGGGGTCAGGTCAGGGAGCTTCATGCTCTCTCCTCTGGCACATGGGTTTCTACTCTTTTGGTCCTCATGATAGGTTTGTTCCATTGCAGCCGTCTTCTTTTCTGGCGAAGAATGAGAGGGTTCCTTTTCAGAGAGGTCCTTGGGTTGTTGATGCTTGTTTGGTGAGGCCAGGGGTAATTACCTAAGTGTAGTTACAGGATGAGAGCTACGCTCATGGTGTCCCGTCTTCCCAGTACTCTTTGTCATATAACGCTTTGAAACTACTGACGGTCTTGGCCTCCACCGCCTTCTCACCTAACTTGTTCCAACCGTCTACCACTCTGTTTGCGAAAGTGAATTTTCTTACATTTCTTCGGCATCTGTGTTTAGCTAGTTTAAATCTATGACCTCTTGTTCTTAAAGTTCCAGGTCTTAGGAAATCTTCCCTATCGATTTTATAAATTCCCGTTACTATTTTGTATGTGGCGATCATATCACTTCTTTTTCTTCTGTCTTCTAGTTTTGGCATATTTAATGCCTCTAACCTCTCCTCGTAGCTCTTGCCCTTCAGTTCTGGGAGCCACTTAGTAGCATGTCTTTGCACCTTTTCCAGTTTGTTGATGTGCTTCTTAAGATATAGGCACCACACAACCGCTGCATATTCTAGCTTTGGCCTAACAAAAGTCATGAACAATTTCTTTAGTATATCGCCATCCATGTATTTAAAAGCAATTCTGAAGTTAGAAAGCGTATCATAGGCTCCTCGCACAATATTCTTTATGTGGTCCTCAGGTGATAGTTTTCTATCTAGAACCACGCCTAGATCTCTTTCTTTATCAGAATTCTTTAAAGATTTCTCACATAATATATAGGTTGTGTGAGGTCTATGTTCTCTTATTCCACATTCCATAACATGGCATTTATTAACATTAAATTCCATTTGCCAAGTGGTGCTCCAAATACTTATTTTGTCCAGGTCTTCTTGAAGGGCATGACAATCATCTAAGTTTCTTATCCTTCCTATTATCTTAGCATCATCAGCAAACATGTTCATATAATTCTGTATACCAACTGGTAGATCATTTATGTAGACAATAAACATCACTGGTGCAAGAACTGAACCCTGTGGTACTCCACTTGTGACATTTCTCCAGTCCGATACATTGCCTCTGATTACTGCCCTCATTTTTCTATCAGTCAGAAAATTTTTCATCCATGTTAGAAGCTTACCTGTCACCCCTCCAATATTTTCCAGATTCCAGAACAACCTCTTATGTGGAACTCTGTCGAAAGCCTTTTTTAGGTCCAGATAGATGCAGTTAACCCAACCATCTCTTTCCTGTAATATCTCTGTTGCTCGATCATAGAAACTGAGTAAATTCGATACACAGGATCTTCCAGATCGAAAACCATACTGTCTGTCTGATATTATATCATTTCTCTCCAGGTGTTCTACCCATTTAGTTTTAATTATTTTTTCCAATATTTTGACTATTACACTTGTCAATGATATCGGTCTATAATTAAGGGGGTCTTCCCTGCTTCCACTTATGTAGATTGGAACTATGTTAGCCTTTTTCCATACATCAGATACAACTCCTGTAAACAGGGATGCCTGAAAAATCAGTTGAAGTGGAATGCTGAGCTCAGGTGCACATTCTCTCAGAACCCATGGTGAAACTCCATCTGGACCAACTGCTTTGTTCTTATTTAGCTCCTTGAGCATTTTTTCCACTTCATCTCTAGACACCTCTATGTGCTCTATGTTGTTCTCTGGAATTCTTATTGTATCTGGTTCCCTGAAGATTTCATTTTGTACAAACACACTTTGAAACTTTTCGTTTAATGTTTCACACATTTCCTTTTCATTTTCCGTAAATCTATTTCCCATTTTCAACCTCTGAATATTATCCTTTACCTGCAATTTGTTGTTTATGAATTTATAGAATAGACCTGGTTCTGTTTTACATTTGTCTGCAATCCCTTTTTCAAAATTTCTTTCTGCCTCTCTCCTGTCATGCATCATGTGTTGTGTGTCTGGTTGCGGCTCTCCATCATTATTTGCGCACCATGGCTTGTGTGTCCGGGGACGTGCTTTTGATTGATCTGGTTTCCCTTCTTCCCTGTTCCAGGGTACGGGTCTCTCAGGTTGTCGGCAGGGTTATTCGGTCTAGTGAGCCTGCGGTCTATCCCCCATGCCCACGGTGTTCGTAAGTTTGCTGCTCTTGCTGCCGTCTTTGGCAACATGTCTTGGCCTGACATTCGGGAGCTTGGCTTTTGGCGACCTAACAGGGTCCTGGCTGCGCGCTACCTCATGAATGTTCCTGGGCCTCGTCGGGCCTGTGTCACTTTGGGTCGGGGGTTGCAGCCAGTTGTCTTAGCTTTACGTTGAGGTGCGAGCAATGACTGCCTCCCAGGTAATCCCTCTAGTTTTTGTCTTTGAGCAAGTAGCTCCGGGGAGCCGACAGGGCTCCCCCCAAAAATCCAGCGATGAATGTAATGAAAAGCCATTTTCTGGGTGAGACCCAGAGACTCCCCAGCATCCCTCCCTCTCTCCAGTCAGTGTTTTTTTCACGTGTTTTGATATCCAGAACTCAGAACTGGGGTCTGGGGCTCCCCATTCCCTCTCCTGGAAAGAGGGAAGCTGTGCAGACGGCAGCGCGGCAACATAGTGACGTCATGCTCGTTTGCTCATTTTTCCTTGGAGAGTTCTGTCCACTAGTTCGGCTCTCAGTAGCAATTTTTTAACCAGAATAGGGGTTTGTTTTGGGATGCTTACCTTTCTGGGGTGCCTGACCCAGTCGATGGCAGACATAGAATGGTTCCAACCACACGGGGGTTTCTATAGGCCATTGCTCCTTGTGCCTCTCTAAGGGGCCAGGTTCTGGCTCGTAGTCCCCGGTAGGTCTAAGAACTCCATTCCTACTGACTGATGCCATAAGTCTAATATTAGCATATCAGCCTGGATAGCTCCAGGAAGTTTTCGGGTCTCACCCAGAAAATAGCGTTTCATTACTTTCAATGCTGGTTTTGTGTTTCACCTAACCTTTCTACTGGGTTCTTCTTGGATTTGTATAGATGTCCTACTCCCAAGTTCCTCAAGCCTTGTAGAGCCAGATTTTGGACCCCTGGGTCCTGGTAGGCCAGCATGGGTCTGAGGCCCAGTGCTATCTTAAGGTTTAGCTATACCAGTCTGGGGAAACAGCTATCAGGGTCCTTTCAGAAATATACAGTATGCAAGTAAAGATTAATGCCTATAGCTATTCAGTAACTGTGTATTATGGAAAATTTTGGTAAATCATGCCTTTATTTAGAATATGTAATGATAGGATTTTATAATTAAATTAAAAACTGTACACATATGCTTCCTAAACCTAGAACTCTTTTTCACCATATGATTTTTAAAACACATACCTGAAACAAAGGTTTTGTAACCCTAAATGTTTGCAGAAAATTTATTTCACTTAGGTATGTATCCCAGAAGGGATGAAGTGACAATCTACTGCTTCGAGACTTCCGGGTCTTGCCAACCTGAAAGAATTTAATCCATATATCTTGAGCTCATTAAGTTTTACCAAAATATGACATAATGCAAGACAGCATTTAAAATTATATCTCGCTTTATTTATGCATGGGGATGTGTTCTGGAATGCTGTACTAATAAAGAGCAAATTGTATAAATTGAACTTAAATATACTTATGTGAAAATTAAAGCACTAAATGTATTGAAGCACACATTTTTAGGATCAACCTCAGTAGTGTCCCTAAACTTATGCACTAGCTGTTACTGGTCAGATTAGCTAGTACTAGGCATCCAAGCCATTCTCTTCATCTATTGGCGACATGGGTTTATGTACAACCTCCGCATGCCTCCCCATCAGACAGGGAGTACATGACGATCAAAGATTAACCCAATACGTATGCATAAAAGAAATTATATTTGCCATCAATAGCGAAATTTGGCTATATTTTTGCCCTATGATGGTCATGGAGGAAGCTGGCATCGGGTGAAAGAGGGTTGTGACGATCTCTGTCTGGAACTTGTAGGTGTGGGACTGGGACGTCCGCCTCCTGGGGCTTGTAATTACCTAAGTGTAATTACCTAAGTGTAGTTACAGGATGAGAGCTACGCTCGTGGTGTCCCGTCTTCCCAGCACTCTTTGTCATATAACGCTTTGAAACTACTGACGGTCTTGGCCTCCACCACCTTCTCACTTAACTTGTTCCAACCGTCTACCACTCTATTTGCGAAGGTGAATTTTCTTATATTTCTTCGGCATCTGTGTTTAGCTAGTTTAAATCTATGACCTCTTGTTCTTGAAGTTCCAGGTCTCAGGAAGTCTTCCCTGTCGATTTTGTCAATTCCTGTTACTATTTTGTATGTAGTGATCATATCACCTCTTTTTCTTCTGTCTTCTAGTTTTGGCATATTTAATGCTTCTAACCTCTCCTCGTAGCTCTTGCCCTTCAGTTCTGGGAGCCACTTAGTAGCATGTCTTTGCACCTTTTCCAGTTTGTTGATGTTCTTCTTAAGATATGGGCACCACACAACAGCTGCATATTCTAGCTTTGGCCTAACAAAAGTCATGAACAATTTCTTTAGTATATCGCCATCCATGTATTTAAATGCAATTCTGAAGTTAGAAAGCATAGCATAGGCTCCTTGCACAATATTCTTTATGTGGTCCTCAGGTGATAGTTTTCTATCTAGAACCACTCCTAGATCTCTTTCTTTATCAGAATTCTTTAAAGATTTCTCACATAATATATAGGTTGTGTGGGGTCTATGTTCTCCTATTCCACATTCCATAACATGACATTTATTAACATTAAATTCCATTTGCCAAGTGGTGCTCCATATACTTATTTTGTCCAGGTCTTTTTGAAGGGCATGACAGTCATCTAAATTTCTTATCCTTCCTATTATCTTAGCATCATCAGCAAACATGTTCATATAATTCTGTATACCAACTGGTAGATCATTTATGTACACAATAAACATCACTGGTGCAAGAACTGAACCCTGTGGTACTCCACTTGTGACATTTCTCCATTCTGATACATTGCCTCTGATTACTGCCCTCATTTTTCTATCAGTCAGAAAATTTTTCATCCATGATAGAAGCTTACCTGTCACCCCTCCAATATTTTCCAGTTTCCAGAACAACCTCTTATGTGGAACTCTGTCGAAAGCCTTTTTTAGGTCCAGATAGATGCAGTCAACCCAACCATCTCTTTCCTGTAATATCTCTGTGGCTCGATCATAGAAACTGAGTAAATTCGATACACAGGATCTTCCAGATCGAATATGTGCAATTGTGCGGCCCAGGCTCTGCTTCAGGAGGCTGGGGTCATTCTTGCCCTTGATGGGGAGGTTCTTCTGAAGCCCTAACCACGGCGGTCTCTGGGTTTGGAGTCCCTGTGCCTGCTTTCACCAACTTCGATATCAAATCCGGAGCTCACAGTTCCTGCGACGGCGCTACAACCAACTGTATTGACATTTGCCTTTCAATTGTAGACTTTCAGCGCCATGGAGAGAGAGGGGGGAGGAACCTGCTGCTTGGGGTAACAGCTTCTCCTCCGTATCAACCTCCACTGGCTTTGCACCCTGGAGAGGCCACTCCAGACCAACAACCAGAGCACAACTCCATAGTCTCCTGAGACTGATGGATGCCTACTATATGCATCATTTCCTAAATCCCATGAAAGGAGACCACAAGTCACCCAACCTTCCTCTGAGAAATAATTTGGTTAAGTGTGGAACTACCTAAACAATACCCTGAAACAATTAAATAAGCACTCCAAATGACTACCTCCATCTACCACCAAGTAACATATAGGCTACCCATTAGTTCCTGGGTACCAAGTTTGCTCATAGGGTAGAGCCCAAAGTGGTAAGTGAGGTCTCCAACTCATAACCAAAGTCCCTGACCCACAGATAGATGGAAACGTGTCGATAAATCCTGCAAATCCAGAGAAATAAGTCATGACTGACCTTATGCTACCTAGTAACCCAAGGGAACACAGTGAATAACTGGAATGTTGAACATTAGTTTACCAACAAATTGTGGGTGATAATGCAGAGGGGTAGATGGCTAGATCTTCTGACTCAACTCTAGGTAAAACAAGCTGCAAATTGCAAAAACCCAATTTCTGCCACCACTTCATACTCTACTGAAAGAAACAAGAGTGGAAAGAAAACTTGGTCATTGATGCAAAAATATCAATGACCAAGCCAAATCCTGCAAAGAATCTAAATCAGTCTGCTTGCAGGCATGATGAAATGTATATAAAGCAACAAATGCTTCACAGGAAAGCAGAGCAAACAACTTGGCCAACGTTTATGCAGCCAACTGACCTGACAAGGCCAGGAGAGAACCTAAGAATGCATCAGAGAGCTTGGACAATAACCAGCAGAAAACATATCGTGCACAGCTAGATAAACAGTAGATCCTGCTTGGATCCTGCTTGATGAGGTTCTGAGAGTTCTTCTACTCCCCAAGCCCAGCCCGAGGCCAGGCTTGACTTGTGAGTTTGGTCCACCAGGCTGTTACTTGGAGTGGCCCGCAGGCCCACATACCTACCACAGCCTGGTTGGTCTGGCACTTTTTTTTAGAAAACAGTCCAGTTTTCTATTGAAGATGTCCACGGTTGTTCCGGCAATATTTCTTATAGTCACTAGGAGGACGTTAAACAACCGTGGACCTCTGATGTTTATGCCAAAAGCCGAACAACTGGATAGAACTCCCATAAAAGAAACGAGCAAACGAGCATGACGTCACACGTCGCTGCGCCACTGTCTGCGCAGCTCCCCCCTCCCCAGGAGGGGAAAGGGGGGAGTCCCAGACCCCCCCCATCCCCCTGGCTATCCACCCATCAGTTCTTAGGCTGGATGTCAAAACACGCGAAAATCCGTCGACTGGAGGGAGGGAGGGAGGGAGGGATGCTGGGGAGAATCCGGAGCTCACCCAGAAAATGGTGTTTCATTACATTCAACACCGGTGTTCTGGGAGGAGCCCCTTCGTGTTCCTGGAGCTAACTACCCACAGAGGAAAAACATAGGAACTTACCAGGGAGGTGGTCGCTACTAACTCCTCAATTCGAAGTCGAGACAACTTGCTGCAGCTGCTGACCCAAAGCAACACAGGCCCGACAAGGCCCCAGGGACGTTCACCAGGTAACGAGCAGCCAGGACCCTGTTCGACTGCCATAATCCCCATGCCCAAATGTCAGCCCAGGACATGTTGCCAAAGATGGCAGCAAGAGCAGCGAACTTACGAACGTCATGGGCACGGGGATAGACCGCAGGCTGGCTGGTCTTAACACTATCGCGCCCCTAGCATGTGCGCTTCCAACTTAGAGGTCATGCCCCTGGCGTGCGGGCAAACACGCGGCGACACTGAAATGTGTATACTCGTTTCAGTTTTCTCACCTTAATTCTCGTGCTACGTCGTTCGTTTTGGTATCATTGTGTTCGCAATAGAATTCCCTACAGGTGAATATGCATATAATGTCCAAAAACCTGGCATGACTCCCAACAGCAAAGCCTAAAGTTGGCAAAAGTTAACCGTGAGCGCACAAAATCAGTAAAATGTGTATGCTTGTTTCAGTTTTCTCATCTTAATTCTCGTGCTACGTCATTCGTTTTGGTATCATTGTGTTCGCAATTAAATTCCGTACAGGTGTATGTACATATATAATGTACATATAATGTACAAAAGCCCAGCGTGCCTCCCCGCAGGAAAACCTAAAGTTACCCATAAACGAGCACCAATTGGTACACACCAACCTAATGTGTATACTCGTTCAGTTTGATAACATCAATTTTCGTGTTACGTCTTTCATTTTGATTTCAAATTGTTCGCAATATAAAGGCGCGGATTTTAAAACTAGTCCCATAATAATAGAGCAATAACTGGAATTTTAACAAATACTTTAATTTTGGAAGCTCATCATCACAAAATTATTTATATCTTTCCAGTGTTCTGACATAAATGTTGTGTTACATATTCCATTGTGGTATAAAATTGTTCGCAATGTAAAAGCGCACATTTTAAAACTAGTCCCAAAATAATAGCACAATAAATAGAATTTTAACAAATATTTTAAAATTTTGACCAAAATCGTATTTATAATCTTTCAAGTGTTCTGACTTCAAGTTTCGTGTTATATCTTTCATTTTGGTATCAAATTGTGCTCACTCTAAAGGTGCTTATTTTGAAACTATCCCAAAGTCGATCGGATAAAAAATTAATTTTATACAAATATTTTTGTATTGGACACGAGCACTGTCCATGGCTAGGACACATGAGAGAAAAAAAACAGCGTTGAATGTAATGAAACGCCATTTTCTGGGTGAGTCCCGGAGGGTCCCCAGAGCTATCCCAGGCTGATATGCTAATGTCAGACTTTGGCATCAGTCATGTGTATGGAGTTCTTAGGCCTACCGGGGACCACGGCCAGAACCGGGCCCCCTCAGAGAGGCAAGGGGAGCAATGGCCTATAGAAGCCCCCGTGTGGTTGGAAGCATT